TGCTAGTCTTACTGGAGTGAGATGATATCTCATGGTTGTCTTGATTTGCATGTAGGGTTTTTTAAGTCATCTTTATTAAGTGCTTCATGTCTTCTTCACTTTCTGCAAACAAGGCTGTGCTATCTGCATAATACAGATTGTTGATGAGACTTCCTCTAATCCTGGCTTCATGAATTATTTGCTCAGCATATAGATTAAGTAGGTATGGAGAATGGATATACCTCTGATGTATACCTTTCCTGATTTTAAACCATGCAGTATCCCTTGTTCTGTTTGAATGCTTACTTCTTAGTCTATGTACAGATTTAAAATAAGCACAATTAAGTGTTCTGGAATTCTCTTCTTCTCAACTTTATCCTTATTTTATTATGATCCATACAATCTATTGCTCAAATATTGGCAAATTAAAATAGAAAAAAAAGATGATGAAATCAGAACATTTCAAAGGGAAACTCAAGAAGATAAAGCAAACTAGTATAACAAAATGTGCGTAGATCTGGAGGTAGAAAACCAAAATAGGAAGAACATATTTGACATTCTCATATTGACAGAACTGAAAAAATGTCATACCTTCATTAGCAGTACTGCAGGATTCTATGGGCAGAAAGTTGAATGACTGCATCAAAAGATTAGAGTCACTGTACCAAAAAAGAAAAAAAAATTGGTCAACTAACTCAGGAAGTATATGATCAACACCAAGGTACTGAAGGAAGAAGTCCAAGTTGCACTGCAGGTATTGGTGAAAAAAAATAAAGCCCTAGGGATTAACAGCATACTGAGATGTTTCCGAAAACATGTAACCCTGCATGTGGTTCACTAGCCTCTGACAAGAAATTTTGAAGACCGACCTATCTGACCGACCAACAGAAAGAAATCTGTATTTGTTCCCATTAAAAAAAAGATGATCTGAGTATATAAATTCTCAAATATCAGTATCACATGCAAGTACAACTTTGCTGAAGATTATTCAAAAACAGTGGAAGAGTTCATCACCAGTAAGGTGCCATAAGTTCAAGCTAGATCCAGAACAGGCCTTGAAATAAGTTCTAACACTTGAGCCAAGATGGAGCTTGGCTGAAATCAGAGTATCAGAAAGATGCGCAGAACTAGAGATTGTGAGTACATAGCCCTCATTCCCATGACAGATCCAGTGGCTGTCAGGTTTGGAAGGCAGGCAGTATTCTGGTTTGACAACCGCAATGGAGTCACTGA